ATGAATTTTATACTAAGAAATGAAAAGGAAATATATTTAAAATTCACAAAAAAGAAAAAAAAAGGGTGTAGACGTTAGGATGACATCAGTGCCTAACGAATGCGAATCGAGTAGAAATAGAGTTCTACTTGACGATTTTTACGTAAGTGATTATAAACGATTTAATTATTAAGATCTATAAAAGTGAGAAGAATCGTAATAGAATAAAGTATATCTTGGTAAATTTAAAATCAATAAATTATCACTAAATGAAGTGGAAATTAAGGTTAAAGTAAGACAACAGAGTTCCAACATCTCGGCGGTGATGTGTCAACGATGCACTAGAATCTTGAGCATTTAGGAGGATTGTTGTATAGTGTCTAAGGCCTCAAAGGCTCTCCTTAGACAAAGATAACATAAGTAATCTCTAGATCTCCTTGCGAAGTCTAGATGATGATAAGTAGGACCCGTCTCCATCAACTAAAGAGACACTAACAATTCGAGTTCAACTCGATCGACATGCGAAGATGAAGGAGCTTAGCTTTCGCTACATAGCTTAGGCCTTTTGGACAATGACATTCTACCTCTGCAACGACGACGAGCTTGAGCTCACCCATATCTTTCTTTGTATTTTCACGTTGACTTGTTGGGCCTCATGTTTGTGTGTTAGCGGGCCCAATTTTATGTGTGTATTGTTGTTTGTCGCTCTTTCTTTAGGGTTTTATTGGGTCTTTCTTTGAGGCCCAATTAAAACCCTAAGGGGGGGGACCTATGTGTCTTTCTTTTTTGAGCCTCTTTTGGGGCTTATTTGGGTCTTTATTTGAGGCCCACTTAGGCACCATAAGAGGGCCCTCCTTTTTCTCCTTTTAGGGGAGCTTATTGGGTCTCTCTTTAAGAGGCCCAATAAGCCCCTTTTGTAGCCTTTGTGGCTTATGGGCTTGAGGGTCTCAAGTGGGCCCACCTCCCCTTAGCCCACTTGTGGGCCCTCATATAAGGGGAGGTAGGACCCCCCCCCTCAAAGGGCGCCGTATTTTTTTTGAGAGAAATTATCGTTGTCAGTTATCTTCCTCGTGACCTAGAATAGGGAGGGAAAGAGGAAGAGGAAGGCAGCCGATACCCCCTTCGAGGACTTCGTTCCTCGTGACGCTGCTGCCCGAGAAGTCCTGCTGCCGCCTGAGACCACTGCCGCCGCCGGCCATCTCATTGCCGCCCGGGAGCTCGCCGCCGTCACCGGACGAAATGGTCGTGGTTGCCGCTGCAGCCGCCGCCGCCTCTGCTGGAACCCCGTCATGGCGTCATGACGAAAGGGGCTCGCTTTGCCTCCCCACGAGCCGTCGCCGAGCACTCCGCCAGAGTCTCTCGACTCCTGGTTCGACTGCCGCCTCTTCCTCCGGAACTCCACCATAAATTCGCCAGAGCCGCCCTCCGCCACTCCGCCCAGTTGCTGGCCGTTCGCCGACGAACGCCGACCTGCCGCCGACGTCGGAAGAGACCCCGCAGCCGTGCTGACGAGCCAGAACCAGTCCCAGCTCCTCACAGGCCCTTGCCGGATTTTCCCGACGCTCCGCCGCCGTCGTGCCGTTTCTAGCGCCGCTTAGACCAGGGGAGCTCAACCCTCCCTGGTATCGTCGGCCGGATCGTCTCCTCTCTGCTCCGCTTCCCAGCGCCACCAGAGAGGCCGATCCTTCCGGTGACGGTTGGGTTTCCGCCCCAACCGCTGACACTCGGCATTCCTGCCGAAGCGCTGCTGACACTTGGCCTTCCCGCCGAACGTCGATGCTCGGCATTCCCGCCGAAGTGCCGTTGACGCTCGGCATTCCTGCCGAAGCGCCGCAGATGCTCGGCCTTCCTGCCGAAGCGCTGCCGCCGCGTGCGCCTCGCGCGCCAGTTCTTGCGGCCCGCGCGCCCACCCGGCACCACTGCCCGCGTGCCCTAGGGCACGCCGCGCGACTTGCCGTGCGCGCCCGCTAGCGTGCCCTTTTGGCCCACCAGCGGGCCCACACCCACTAGCGCGCCCACGCCCACTAGTGTGCCCTTTGGCCCACCTGCAGGCCCACGCCCACGCTGCTTGTACCACGCCCTAAGATGACGACTTCCGTGACTCTCAACCAGGACTGACCGTCAGTGCTGAGCATCGCTCTTCACCAGACGTCCCTGCCTTCGTCAGATCTCAGCTTTGTCATGACCTGCCATGCTACACAGCCCTAAAGGTTAGCTCTATACCCCTTCTTACTTAAGTTTAATTATCTTTCGAAGGGTTTTCTCGACTTGTCTCTACCGCCTTCAGGAGCACATAGACAGGACAAGATAAGTTATCGGATCGTAACTTCTGATGCTGTGCCAGACTCATCACAGTTTGTGTGTTGTAGCCCTAGGCTACTTCACGACGACAGTTCTATCATTTGTCTGGACGTGGACCGAGAGGGCCTCTCACTCACCATCATCGAGTGTTTCCCCAAGTTGTCCTGGGATGATCACGTATATTGGTATGCCTACCTGTGCTTAGGTTATGTGGTCAGACCTAGAGTCTAGAGTTTAAACAGTCTTATTAGATCAATCCGACTGCCCCATCTCGAGACTCAAGTTTCATTGATTAGGTATAGGAGGTTCTTGCCCCGTCCTACATCACTAGAGATTAATGAAATGGGTTGTTAATAAGTCTTCACTATCATGAGTTAATAATTAGTAAATAATATAGTTTTAGCTGTAACTCATGATAAATAGACTTATATCTATGCTAAAGTGTAAAAAGTAGTTTTCATTTGATTAATGTGAATTTTTGGGTAATTATGTGATTTTACATAAATTTATATAATTTTTATAATCTTACTTTTGAGATAAATAAAGAAAAAGAAATAAAAAATAAAAATAAGACAAAATGGGAGGGACCTACTAGCTAGTCGAGCCCAAAGGTGGGTCGGAAGTGCAGTCAAGGAGTAGCCGCGAGCAAGGGCTCGAGCGGCTTGGACCGATAGGCGCACGTGTGCGCCACTCCCCTTTCACATCATTAGTGGCCAGCCGGCTGTGGGGCAAGGAGTGGTCATACACGCGAGAGAAAGGAATTGCTTAGAAATGAAATATTAGTATATATTTGCCCGAAAAATTGGTGCACAATTGATGTGGGACTAAACCTGCATCACATTTTCTAGAAAGGATGGGCAACTAGTGCGGGTTCGAATCCTCCTAGAGTCAAAAGTCGCATATTTTTATCTAACTATTGTGATTTTCTACAGATCGCCAGTGAAGGATTAAGCAACAAGAATCGCTGGATCATCAGCAAAAATCTCATCAACGTGATTCATGAAACATTGCTACTAAAATTACTGAATGATTCGCGATAAAAGGATCGTGAATCCATCGAGTAAATCATCTCTGATTGATCGATGAACAAGCCATTGTCAAGAAGAGGACGATCTATTGGGAAATAAGTCGCCACCTCTTAAGAGCGTACTAGATGCGATGAAGAGCCTCCTCTTGCTGCGCGGACTTAAGGATGAAGCTCTCTAACATGCACCTCACCTCTATCTAGCTACTCTATTGGGTGACAACCACTAGAGAGCCGCAAAGTCATTGTTTTTCCGCTCCACTGGGTGACAACTGTCGGAGACGATTCGATGACCGATTTCATTAATCTTTAGACTTCACAAAGAGATCTAGAGATTGTCCATATCATCTTTGTCCAAAGAGAGCCATTGAGGCTGTGGACACTTCATGACAATCCTTCCAAACACTTAGGATTCTGATGCATCATCGACACATCGCCATTGCAATGTCAGAACTCTATTTTTCTACTATCAACTTAATTTACGCTTCATTAGTAATACTTTGTATGTTTTTAATTTATCAAAATATACTTTATTCAATTATGATTCTTTCAACTATTACACATCTTAATTTGATTAATTAAATTGTTTGTAATCACTTACGTAAGAATTGTCGAGGAGAACTCTATTTTTGCCCGATTTGTGTTTGCCAGGCGTTGATGTCATCCTGACATCCACACCCTTATTTTCCTTTTTCGTAAATTTTAAATATATTTCCTTTTCATTTCCTAATTTAAATTCATAGAAAATCATATTCATTGAGAAAAATTCTGAATAATTACTAGATATTATATTACATCCTTGTGATTGACCTAGAAAATTACCATTTTTTTTGAAATTTTTATTAAATTATAATTATTATATTTGTTTAGAAATACTTCTAAATATCCAAAAAATCATATTTTCTAGTTTTCTAAATTTTAAATTTGCGTGATTTACTATACAACAACTAAGTCACATTAGTCTTTGAATTGTCTCCAATGGCTGTCACTTGGTGGAGCGAAAAAATGGCAACTTTGCAGCTCTCCGATAGCTATCACCCAACAGAAAGGAGTTGGAAGGAGGTGGGGTGTGTGTTAGGTGACGTGACTCAGTGGTTGTATATTAAATCACCCAAATCTAAAATTTATAAAACTAGAAAATATAAATTTTTAGATATTTAGAAGTATTTATAAATAAATATATTGATTATAATTTAATAAAACTTCCAAAAATAATGGTAATTTTTCAAGTTGATCATAGGGATGTAATATACTATTTCGTAATTATTCAAATTTTTTCCCAATGAATATGATTTTCTATGAATTTTATATTGGGAAATAAAAATGAAATATATTTAAAAATCACAAAAAAGGGAAATAAGGGTGTGGACGTCAAGATGACATCAGTGCTCGAAGAATGCAAATCAGGCGAAAATAGAGTTTTGCTTGGTGATTCTTATGTAAGTGATTACAGATGATTTAATTAATCAAATTAAGATTTGTAAAAGCTAGAAGAATCATAATAGAGCAAAGTATATCTTGGTAAATTAAAATCACGAAAATTATCACTAAATGAAGTGTAAGGTAAGTTTAAAGCAAGAAAACAAAATTCTAGCGTTGCGACGGTGATGCGTTGGCGATGCACTGGAATCCTAGGCATTCGGGAGGATCGTCGTGCATTGTCCACGCCTTCAAAGACTCTCCTTGGACAAAGACGATGTGGGCAATCTCTAGATCTCCTTGCGAAGTCTAGAGATCAATGAAGTGGGTCGTCGAATCATCTCCAGTGGCTGTCACCTAGTGGAGCAGAAAAATGGCAACTTTGCGGCTCTCTAGCAATTGTCACCCGACGGAGAGGAACTAGATGGAGGTGGGGCGCATGTTAGGGAGCTTCATCCTCAGGTCTGCACAGCAAGAGGAGGCTCTTCATCACATCTAGTACGCTCTCAGGAGGTGGTGACTTGTCTCCTGACAGATCATCCTCTTCCCAACGACGGCTTGTTCGTCAATCAATCGGAGATGACTTACTTGACAAATTCACGATCCATTTATCACAAATCCTTCAGCAATTTGAGTAACAATGCTCCGCAAATCATGTTGATGAGATTTTCGCTGATGATCCAATGATTCTCATTGCTTAATCCTTCACCGGCAATCTGTAGGAAAGTCACGATAATTAGATAAAAATATATGACTTTTGACTCTAAAAGGACTTGAACCCACACTGGTCGTCTGCCTCTTCTGAGGAAGGTGTACTAGGGGTTTAGTCCCACATCGGTTGTGCGCCAAATTTTTGAGCGAAAATATATTAATGTTATATTCCTAAACAAAGTCCTTCTCGTGTGTGTATGACCACTCCTTACCCCACAGCTAGCCGTCCACTAGTGACGTGGAAGAGGAGTGGCGCACCCGTGCCCCCATCAGTTCAAGCTGCTCGAGCCCCTGCTCACGGCTACTCCCTAACTATGCTTCCAACTTGCTTGTAGGCCTGGCTGGTCGGTGGGTTCCCCTATTTTGCAATATTTTTATTTTTATTTCTTATTCTTTCTTTATCTCAAAAGTAAGACTATAAAAATCATATAAAATCATAGAATTTCCTAAAAATTCATGTTAATCAACTGAAAATTCACACTCTAACACAAATATAAGCCTATTTATCGTGAGTTAAGGCTAAAACTATATTATTTACTAATTATTAACTCATGATAATGAAAACTTATCATTAAGGAGCTTCATCCTTAGGTCTGCACAATAAGAGGAGGCTTTTCATCGCATCCGGTACACTCTCAATAGGTGACGACTCATCTCCCAGTAGATCGTCCTCTTTCAAATGGCTACTTGTTTGTCGATCAATTGGAGATACTTTACTTGATGGATTCGTGATTCTTTTGTCATGAATTGTTCAATAATTTTAGTAACAATGCTCCGCGAATCGTGTTTACAAGATTTTTGCCAATGATCCAGCAATTTTAGTTGCTTAATTCTTCACAAGCGATCTGCAAGAAAGTCACAATAATCAGATAAAAATATGAATTTTTGGCTCTAAGAGGATTTGAACCCGCACAATTGCCTGCCCTTTCTAGGGAAGGTGTGATACGAGTTTAGTCCCACATCACTTGTGCGGTGAAGCTTCTAGCGAATATATAGGAATATTACATTTATGATCAAGTCCCTTTCTCGCATGTGTACAATCACTCCTTGCCCCACAGTTGGCTGGCCACTAGTGATGTGGAAGGAGAGTGGCACACACGTTCCCCTATCGGTCCTAGCCGCTCGAGCCCTTGCTTGCAGCTACTCTCTGACTGTGCTTCCCACCTGTTTGCGGGCCTGGCTGGTTAGTAGGTCCCCCCCATTTTATTTTATTATTTCTTTATTTCTTTATGTTCATTTATCTTAAAAGTAAGATTATTAAAATTATAGAAATTTGTATAAAATAAGATAATTACCCAAAAATTCATGTTAATCAACTCAAAACCACTTTTCATACTTTATCACAAATATAAGTCTATTTATCATGAGTTAAGGCTAAAACTATATTATTTACTAATTATTAACTCATGATAATGAAGACTTATCACACCCTCCAATTTAAATCATTGCTAGTCCCTTAGCAATGGAATTACAAAAATAAAATTTACAAATCTCAAACATCATATTTCAATACATAAAAAAAAATACAATTAGAAATGATGCACCTTTAGACATTTTGGATTCTTATATCAAGTATTTAAGAATGATGTCAAGCACTTAAATATTTAAGCACTCCTTGGAATAACAATCTAGACTTTACTTCTTTTATTCACATCTTTATCACTTCTTCACTCATAGATATGTTTACAAGATGCTCTAATTATCAATACTCATCTAAGAATAATATTGATCCTATATTTTTCTTTTTCCATGGCTTGATTTTTGAAGTTTGTACTATCTTTCTTCCTTCTTTTATTTATTTTATATATATATATAGTGGATAAGTAGTTTTTCTTGTAGATAAACTTTAATAATAAGAATGATGTCTCACACCCTCTATGTGTACTCTTCATTTTTAAGGCTTTAACTTTATCCACTTATTTTGTAGTAAGTGTTTTTTATGCACGATTTTCAACAATGAGTATGATGTCTCTTCACCCTTCATGCCTACTCTTCGTTTCTAGATTTTTCACATTACTCTCTCCTTTTTTTTTTCCAAAATAAGTGATTTCTTCTCACAAGTCTTATAGATCAAGGTGCAAAAATCCCTATTAAACTCAAATTTTCACATCAAGTAAATACTATCTATCAAGATTAAGAAATGAAAATCTGTAAATCAAATTCATGTTATCTATCATGCATCCAAGGAGTATTCCAACATTTCATGCCACTAGATCATTATTTTGACTCAATATATTTCCTAGTATAAAATTCATAGAAAATAGTATTCTTTGAGAAAAATTCTGAATAATTACTAGATATTATATTACATTCTTGATCGTCTTGGAAAATTTCTACTATTTTTGAAAGTTTTATTGAATTATAATTAATATCTTTTTCAGAAATACTTCTAAATATCTAAAAATTCATATTTTCTAGTTTTATAAATTTGAAATTTGCGTGATTTACTATACAACGACTAAGTCACATCAAATTTTGATGCCATTACCGGGGATGTATTGCATAATATTTAGTATTTTTCTATTTTTCTCTTAGAGTACACAAAAAAATTTAACTCTTGTTTTATTTTCTTTTTGTCTAATTTTTTCTTTCAAAAAGAAAGGGAACAAAGAGAAGTAAGGCAAAGACTAGAGTATACTGAAGGAGGGTTATAATTACTAAACTTTTTCTTCAAATTTATTGATTTTTTATACATGGTAGAAGATCCTTACATCCAAAGCTAGAAAATCTTTTCATTATTTCATTCAAAACTAAAATCCGAAAGAAAAATTAATTTTGATAGATCCTGATGGAAGTACAGGTCAAATTGAGAACAATCCTATGGCTATGAAAAATCATTATATCCCTAATTTATTTCAAAGAGCATCTAATATTAGAGTCTCATTAGCACCCACTATTAAATTCAAAATAAATCTAAGAATTTTTCAAATGCTCCCTAATTTTCATAGATTACTTTTAGAGGAACCTCATCAACACTTAAAAAATTTCATATGATCTGTGATTTAGTTAATGTCTCTCAAGTTACATTGAAAATTATTAAGATGAAATTATTTCCTCATACATTTAGGGACAAAGATAGCCATTGGCTATCCACATTAGATGGAGAATTAATTAGCTAGAAAGACATAGAACAAGCCTTTCTTCAAAAATTTTATCCCTTAGGAAAAACTCAAAATATGAGAAAACATATATGGAGTTTTTCTCAAAGACCAAGAGAAACTTATGAGACATGGAAAAAGTTCAATGATTTACTTAGAAAGTGTCCCCATCATGCTATACCCAAGAGGCAGCTCAATAGAATTTTTTATGATAGATTATTAAAACAACATAGAAATATGATTGATTCTATATGTGGAAGAGCTTTTATAGAGAAAACCCTTGATGAGATTTACAGTCTTTTTGAGAATTTAAGTGAAAATTCTAGAGATCAAGCCTCTTTTGAATTATATGACAGGGATAAGAAGAGAGGAATGTATGAGTTGTATCAAGATGATGATTCTAAATTAACAAATGAGATTAATCAGATTAATCAAAGATTCAAAAAACTTGATTTACTTATTTAGAATATTAAAAAGCCTCCTAACATTCAATTGAATGCATATAGTGCATGTCCTATATATATGGTGAAAATGATCATTTCGAATTTCAATATTATAATTTACATCAACCATATCATCCTAGGCAAGAATAAGTGCAGGTACCCCATGATTTTAATAAAATAGGGAATATTTTTCTAATCCTTATAATCCTAATTGGGGTAATAATTTTTTGTGGAGAAACCCAAATAATATTCAAAATCTAGAAGCACTTAGATCTAATTCAAATTTTGAATTTCACCCAAAATAGGAACATAGATTTCAGAAAAATCAGCCCTCTCAAATCTAACCTGATGCTATAGAAATGATGTAGTAAATAAGTCAAATGATGCAACAAATTATGAATCAAATGATGTTGCACCAAAAACAAATTATAGAGGTTTTTGAGAATAGGAAAGAAGAAGGACAACCACTCAGTTAGTGAATAAAAAATTTAGGAAACTATCTAATAGTAGAATTTCAACAAGGAGAGTCTAGTTGGATGAATTTAGAAAAATACCCATAAAATGAAAATGTTAGGACAGTGAATACATTGAGTGAGAATATTTTACATGGTCCTTATTTCTAATTATTAGAAGAAATCGATGAGCCATTAGAAGTAAATGAGAATATTAAGGCTGAAAAGATAGTAGTAGAAAATTTGAATAAAATTATTTATTGCTCACAATTGATGAATGAATATAGTGAGGATGATGAGGAGAAAGAGCTCTTAGATGAAGAAATAGTAGCTAATCATAGAAAAATTATCCAAATTTTAGTAGAAGAGAGTAAGGACAGAAATAAAGAAAAATATATTTAAGGTGAGGAAAACTTGACATGACTCAGTCGTTGTATATTAAATCATGTAAATATAAAATTTATAAAACTAGAAAATACGAATTTTCAGATATTTAGAAGTATTTCTGAATAAATATATCAATTATCATTCAATAAAACTTCCAAAAATAGTAGTAATTTTCCAGGTCAATCACAGGGATGTAATATAATATCTGGTAATTATTCAGAATTTTCCTCAAAAATTATTATTTTCTATGAATTTTATACTAAGAATTGAAAAGGAAATATATTTAAAATTCACGAAAAAAGAAAATAAGGGTGCAAGAGTCAAGACTGACATCAGCACCTAGTGAACGCAAATCGGGCAAAAATAGAGTTCCGCATGGTGATTCTTACGTAAGTGATAAGTCTTCATTATCATGAGTTAATAATTAGTAAATAATATAGTTTTAGCCTTAACTCATGATAAATAGACTTATATTTGTGTTAAAGCATGAAAAGTGGTTTTCAGTTGATTAACGTGAATTTTTGGGTAATTATGTGATTTTATATGATTTTTACAGTCTTAGCTTTGAGATAAATGAAGAACAAGAAATAAAAATAAAAATATTGCAAAATGGGGGGATCCGCCGGCCAGCCGGGCCCGCAAGCAGGTCGGAAGCGCAGTCGGGGAGTAGCCGCGAGCAGGGGCTCGAGCGGCTTGCTTGGATCGATAGGGGCACGTGTGCGCCACTCCCCTTCCACGTCACCGGTGGTCAGCCGGCTGAGGGGCAAGGAGTGGTCGTACATGCGAGAGGACTTTGCCTAGAAAGCTAACTTTACTATATATTCGCCCGAATAATCCGCGCACAACCGATGTGGGACTAAATCCACCTTGTAAGGCGCGGGCGACCACCGCGGGTTCGAATCCTCCCAAAGTTAAAATTCATATATTTTTAACTGATTATCGCGACTTTCCTGCAGATCGCCAGTGAAGGATTAAGCAACCAAAATCGCTGGATCATCGGCGAAAATCTCATCAACGCGATTCGCGGAGCATTGCTACTAAAATTTCTGAACGATTCACGATAAAAGGATCGCAATCCATCGAGTAAATCATCTCCGATTGATCGACGAACAAGCCGTCGTCGGGAAGAGGACGATCAGCCGGGAGACCAGTCGCCACCTCCTGAGAGCATACCAGATGCGATGAAGAGCCTCCTCTTGCTGCGCGGACCTGAGGATGAAGCTCCCTAACACACGCCTCACCTCCATCCAGCCCCTCTCCGTCGGGTGACAGCCGCCGGAGAGCCGCAAAGTCGCCGTTTTTCCGCTCCGCCGGGTGACAGCCGCCGGAGACAATACGACGACCCACTTCATTGGTCTCTAGACTTCACGAGAAGATCTAGAGATTGCCCACGTCATCTTTGTCCAAGGAGAGCCTTCGAGGCCGTGGACACTGTACGACGACCCTCCCGAACACTCAGGATTCCGGTGCATCGCCGACGCGTCGCCGTCGCAACGCCGGAACTCTGTTTTCCTGCTTTATCTAGAGATTGCCCACGTCGTCTTTGTCCAAGGAGAGCCTTCGAGGCCGTGGACACTGCACGACGACCCTCCCGAACGCTCAAGATTCCGGTGCATCGCCGACGTGTCGCCGTCGCGACACCGGAACTCTGTTTTCCTGCTTTATCTAGAGATTGCCCACGTCGTCTTTGTTCAAGGAGAGCCTTCAAGGCCGTGGACACTACACGACGACCCTCCCGAACGCTCAGGATTCCAGTGCATCGCCGACGCATCGCCGTCGCGACGCCGGAACTCTGTTTTCCTGCTTTCAATTTAATTTACACTTCATTTAGTGATACTTTGTTGATTTTTATTTACCAAACTATACTTCTTTCAACTACGATTCTTCCGGCTTTTACAGATCTTAATTTGATTAATTGAGTCGTCTATAATCGCCTACGTAAGAATCGCCGGGCGGAACTCTGTTTCCGCCTGATTCACGTTCGCCGAGCGCTGACGTCATCCTGACGTCCGCACCCTTATTTCCTCTTTTTTTTGTGAATTTTAAATATATTTCCTTTTTATTTCCTAGTATAAAATTCGTAAGAAAATCGTACTCATTGAGAAAAATTCTGAATAATTACCAGATATTATATTACATCCTTGTGATCGACCTGGAAAATTACCACTATTTTTTGGATTTTTATTGAATTATAATTGATATATTTATTTTAAAATACTTCTAAATATCCAAAAATTCGTATTTTCTAGTTTTATAAATTTTATATTTGCGTGATTTAATATACAACAACTGAGTCACGTCAAGTGTCCACGGCCTCGAAGGCTCTCCTTGGACAAAGACGACGTGGGCAATCTCTAGATCTTCTCGCGAAGTCTAGAGATCAATGAAGTGGGTCGTCGAATCGTCTCCGGCGGCTGTCACCCGGCGGAGCGGAAAAACGGCGACTTTGCGGCTCTCCGGCGGCTGTCACCCGACAGAGAGGAGCTGGATGGAGGTGGGGCGCGTGTCAGGGAGCTTCATTCTCAGGTCCGCGCAGCAAGAGGAGGCTCTTCATCGCATCTGGTACGCTCTCAGGAGGTGGCGACTGGTCTCCCGGTGGATCGTCCTCTTCCCAACGACGGCTTGTTCGTCGATCAATCGAAGATGATTTACTCGATGGATTCACGATCCTTTTATCGCGAATCGTTCAGCAATTTTAGTAGCAATGCTCCGCGAATCGCATTGACGAGATTTTCGCCGATGATCCAGCGATTCTCGTTGCTTAATCCTTCCCCAATGATCTGCAAGAAAGTCGCGATAATCAGATAAAAATATATGAATTTTGACTCTGGAAGGATTCGAACCCGCGCCGGTCGCCCGCCTCTTCTGAGGAAGGTGTGACGGGGGTTTAGTCCCACATCGATTGTACGCCGATTTTTCGGGCGAATATATAATAATGTTAGATTTGTGAGCAAAGTCCATTCTCTCGCGTGTATGACTACTCCTTGCCCCACAGCTGGCTGGCCACCGGTGACGTGGAAGGGGAGTGGCGTACGCGTGCCCTGTCGGTCCCCAAGTCAAGCCGCTCGAGCCCCTGCTTGCGGCTTACTCCCCGACTGCGCTTCTGACTCGCTTGCGGGCACGGCTGGCCGGCGGGTCCCCCCCATTTTTATCTTTTTATATATATAGTGGATAAGTAGCTTTTCTTGTAGATAAATTTGACAATAAGAATAATATCTCACACCAACTATGTGTACTCTTCATTTTCAAGGCTTTCACTTTAACTACTTATTCTGCAGCAAGTGTTTTTCTATACACAATTTTTGACAATGAGAATGATGTCTTACACCCTCTATGTGTACTTTTCATTTGTAGATTTTTCACATTATTCTCTTTTTTTTCAAAATAAGTGATTTCTCCTCACAAGTCCTATAGATCTAGGTACAAAAATCTCTATTAAACTCAAATGATCAATCAAATTTTCACATCAAGTAAATACTATCCATTAAGATCATGAAGTGAAAATTTATAACATTAAATCTATGTTATCTATCATGTATCCAAAGAGTATTCCAACATTTCATGCTACTAGATCATTCTTTTAACTCAATAATAATCTTCCTAGTATCTTTTGGTATTAATCAATCTAATTGATTTAATTTTTCGTGCATGTAATATGATATAAGAAATTTATAAATTAGATAGTTCTGACAATTTTACTTTCTATTTTTAGTTTTGTTTTTAGCAACAATAAATTTGTCAAAAATAAATCAAAACTATCCTCTTTATTATTGTAATTTCAAATTTGAGTAATATATGTCTAGCAGATTGAAATGTGAGAAAAAGGGTTTCTAGAATTTGAAATTTCAGGCTATTGTTTCTTTGCTATTTTTGACAGTTTGTTGTTCCTAACAAAAAACCAAAAAATAGATGTTGTCATTTTTCTAAATTTTTGTTTTTTTAGTTTATGTTCTAAGTGAGCATGAAAAAGTAAAAAAAAAATACAAAAATATGTTCTTAATTGTCCTATAGCATAAATTAAGAATTAATACTTCATAAATGATATACAGAGTTAAGTATTAAAAATCTTTTCATAAATGATAAAGCTTAGAAAGACATCACCTCAACCTTGTTTTTAATTTTCTACTTCATCTTACACTCTTGCACTTTTTTGAAAAGAAAACAAATATAGAAACAAATACTCTAAAATTCTAAGGAAAAAAAAGTTTTGAAAAAAAAACAAAATGAAATAAAGACCATGGGTTGCCTCCCATGCAGCGGCGAATTTAATGTCTCTAACTAGACACATTAATCTTACTCTTGAATTTCTTTTAATTATAAAATTTCTTTTTCTACCAGGCATTTATGTTCTATGTAATGTTTAAGCCACGATCCATTTACCTTAAAGTTATGATCACTTTTAGGATCTTTAATCATTATAGCCCCATGATCATATGTCTCTTCAACCACATAAAGCCTTGTTCTTTTGATTTTAAATTTTTAAAAAATAATTTCAGTCTACAATCATATAACCACTTTTTGTTCAACATTAATTTTTTTCTGCTAATGTATTTATCATGAAACTTTTAATTTTTTTTTATAGATTCTATGATTTTCATAAACTTCATTCCTCAACTCCTCTAGTTCATGTAGCTGAAAATTTTTTTGCCCACTAGCTGATTTTTCATCCATACATAAATTTTTTATAGCCCATAATGATCAATGCTCTATTTCCATAGGAAGATGACATGGCTTTCAAAAAATGGGGTGAAATGGGGACATACCTATGATATTTTTATAAGTTGTTCTATAAGCCCATAATGCATCTTGTAATTTTGTGGGCCAATCTTTCTTATTTGGTCTAACTAGTTTTCTCAAAATTCTCTGAATTTCTCTATTTTTTACTTCAGCTTGCCCATTTGTTTGGAGATGATATGGAGTGACTATTTTATGGTGTACTCCATTCTTTTTCAATAGTTCTTTGAAATGTTATTTGTAAAATGTGTTCCTCCACTAATAATCACTCTAAGACATCTAAATCTTGAAGAAATATTTTTCTACACAAACTTCATCACAGTTTTATAATCATTAGTTTTAGTAGGAATAACTTACACCTACTTAAACACATAATCAACAGCAAGCAAAATATATTCATATTTTTCAGCTAAGGGGAAGGGACCCATGAAATCTATTTCCCATACATCAAAAATTTTAACTACTAACATGTTACTCATGAGCATTTCATCTTTTTTACTCATGTTACCTATAAATTGACATGAAATATATGTTCTACTAAATTCTATAGAATCTCTAATGATTGTAGGCCAATAAAAACCACAACGAAAAAATTTTATAGCTATTTTTCGTCTAGAGAAATGTTCTCCATAGTTAGATGAATAACATATGTTAAGAATGCTATGATATTCTTCTTCATGAACACCTCCTTAAATCTGATCATTACCCAAGTAATATAAATTAAGATCATGCCAAAAATACTTTCTAATCTTCAAAAAGAAATGATATTTTCCTTAAAATTTGAATTTTTTCTAGAAACCAAAAAATTAACAATATGTGCTTATTGACATGACTTAGTCGTTGTATAGTAAATCACATAAATTTAAAATTTATAAAACTATAAAATACAATTTTGTAAATATTTAGAAGTATTTCTGAACAAATATATCAATTATAATTCAATAAAACTTCCAAAAATAGCAGTAATTTTTCAAGTCAATCATAGGGATGTAATATAATATCTGGTAATTATTCAAAATTTTCTACAAAGAATACTATTTTCTATGAATTTTATACTAGGAAATAAAAAGGAAATATATTTAAAATTCACAGAAAAAGAAAATAAGGGTGTGGATGTCAGGATGATGTAAGTGCTTGGCGAATGCGAATCAGGCAGAAATAGAGTTCCACTCGGTGATTCTTACGTAAGCGAGCACAGACGATTTAATTGATGCAATTAAGATCTGTAAAAGTCGGAAGAATCGTAATGAAATGAAGTATATCTTGGTAAATTTAAAATCAATAAATTATCACTAAATGTAATGAAAACTAAATTGAAAGCAAGAAAATAGTGTTCTGATGTCGCGACGGCGATGCATCAGTGATGCACTAGAATCCTAAGCATTTGGGAGGATTGTTGTGCAATGTCTATAGCCTCGAAGGTTCTCCTTGGACAAAGACGATGTGGGTAATCTCTAGATCTTCTTGCAAAGTCTATAGATCAATGAAATGGTTGTCAAATCGTCTCCTACGGCTATCACCCGGCGGAGAGGGAAAACGGTGACTTTGTGGCTCTTCGATGGCTGTCACCTAATGGAGAGGAGCTGGATGGAGGTGGGACGCATGTTAGAGAGCTTCATCCTCAAGTTCACGCAGCAAGAGGAGGCTCTTTATCACATCTGGTATGCTCTCAGGAGGTGGTGACTCGTCTCTTAGTGGATCGTCCTCTTCCTGACGACAACTTGTTCATCAATCAATCGAAGATGCTTTACTTGATGGATTCACGATCCTTTTATCGCAAATCGTTCTTAAGTGGATAGCCAATGGTCAACTTTGTCCTTAAGTGTATGAGGAAATAATTTCATCTTAATAATTTTCAGTGTAACTTGAGAGAGATTAACTAAATCACAGACTATATGAAATTTTTCTAAGTGCTGATGAGGTTCCTCTAAAAGCAATTTATGAAAATTAGGGAGCATTTGAAAAATTCTTGAATTTATTTCAAATTTAATAGTGAGTGATGATGGGACTCTAATATTAGATGTTCTTTGAAATGAATCAAGGATATAATGATTTTTCATGGCCATAGGATTGTTCCCAATTTGACTTGTACTTCCTTTAGGATCCATCAAAATTAATTTTTCTTTCAGATTTCTAATTTTTAATAAAATAATGAAAAGATCTTCTACCATGCATAAAAAAAAAAAAAATTTGAGAAAAAAGTTTAGCAATTATTACCCTCCTTCAATATACTCTAGTCCCTATCTTGCTTATCTTTGTTCCTTTTTTTAAAAAAAAAATCAGCAAGCAAAAAATAAAACAAGAGTTAAATTTTTTTTGCATACTCTAAGAGAAAAATACAAAAATATTAATTTTGAAATTTAAAATTTATAAAACTAGAAAATATAAGTTTTTGAATATTTAGAAGTATTTTTGAACAAATATATCAATAATAATTTAATAAAAATTTCAAAAATAGTAGAAATTTTCTAGGTCAGTCATAGGGATGTAATATAATATCAGGTAATTATTCAAAATTTGCCTCAAAGAATATTATTTTCTATGAATTATACACTAGGAAATAAAAATTAAATGTATTTAAAATTCATAAAATGGGAAATAAGAGTGCAGACATCAGGATGACGTCAGTGCTTGATGAATGCAAATCATAGTTCCACCCAGCGATTCTTACCTAAGTGATTAGAGATGATTTAATTGATCAAATTAAGATTTGTAAAAGTTGAAAGAATTGTAATTGAATAAAGTATATCTTGGTAAATTTAAATCACATAAATTATCTCTAAATAAAGTGAAAAGTAAGTTGAAAGTAAGAAAATAGAGTTTCAATGTCGCAGTGGTGATGTGTCGGTGATGCACCGAAATCTTGAGCATTCAGGAGGATTGTCATGTAGTGTTCACAGCCTCAAAGGCTCTCTTTGGACAAGGACGACATGGGCAATCTCTAGATCTCCTTGCGAAGTCTAGAGATCAATGAAATAGGTCATCAAATCATCTCTGGTAGCTATCACCCAGCGAAGTGGAAAAATGATGACTTTGCAGCTCTTTGGCGACTGTCACCCAATGAAGAGGAGTAGATGGAGGTGGGGCGTATGTTAGGGAACTTCATCTTCAGGTCTATGCAGCAAGAGGAGGCTCTTTATTGTGCCTAGTACACTCTTAGGAGTTGGCGACTTGTCTCTTGGCAGATTGTCCTCTTCCTAATGATGGCTTGTTCATCAATTAGTTAGAGAGGCCTTACTAGATAGATTTACGATCCTTTTATCACGAATCATTCAATAATTTTAGTAACAACATTCCATGAATCAAGATTTTCACCGATGATTTAGCGATTGTAGCGACTTAATTTTTCACTGGCAATCTGTAATAAAGTCACAATAATGAGATAAAAAAATATGAGTTTTGGCTCTAGAAGGATTCGAATCTGTGTCCGTTGCCTACCTATATGAGAGAGATTGACATAAGTACTCTAATGTCCTTATCAAATGATGTCATTGTGGTATATCTCTGTTGTAAATAAGGGGAATTTTAGGTATTAAAATCATCGAACTCTTTCTAGAGAAAGTGTGACGCAGGTTTAGTTACACGATGACTCCTTGCCTCACAGCCAGCTGGCCACCAGTGACGTGGAAGGGTAGTGGTGCACACGTGCCCCTATTGGTCCTAACCACTTGAACCCCTGCTCGTAGCTCCTCCTCAACTACACTTCCAACCTGCTTGCGAGCCTAGCTAGCTAATGGGTCCCCCCATTTTTCTATATTTTTATTTTTATTTCTTTTTCTTGATTTAACTCAAAAGTAAGATTGCAAAAATCATATAAATTCATATAAAATCACATAATTTCACAAAAAATTACATTGATCAATTCAATGACACTTTTCACACTTTAACATAAATCTAAGTCCATTTATCATGAGTTAAAGCTAAAACTATATTATTTACTAATTATTAACTCATGATAATGAAGACTTATCAAAGACCCTTAATTGTTTAATATATCTATTAGCTAGCTGAAGTTCCACTAAAGTTGGTTTTAGTTCTCCTGGTTTTAAATTTCTAAAAACAGCTAAAGGTAATAAATTAACACTTGCTCCCAAATCTAAGAGCACATTTCTAAATGTAGTTTCACCCACTTTATAGGAGGTAAGAAGTTTCCCTTGATCTTTACATTTTCTAGGCAAAGGATGAGAAATAATGGCACTAGGTTCTTCAGATAAAGATATCTTTTGAGGTGACCTACGAGGTGTGCATAATTTTTTTAAAATTTGTACATGCAGGTATCCGTTTGATTGTATCTATCAAAGAAATAGAGATCTGAACTTGTTTAAATATTTCCATAAGCTCTTCCTTAGGTTCAGCTCTTTTCCTAAGTTTTGGTTCTAATGCCTTAGGAAAGGGGCCTATTTTTCTAAATTCATCTTAGTGTGATAAAATAGTAATGGGTGGTACTTTTGTTTTTTCTTCTTTTGATTCTTGTTTTTCTTCCTCTAAATTCTCATCATCAAAAATAAACTATTATGTTTGTTATCCTCATCATTCAGCACTTCACCATCATGAACCTATTTTTCTAAAAATTCTGGTGCATATGGATCTTTGAATTGCTTTTCACTCCTTAAAGTAGTCACTGCTTCTACATTTTCAAAACTTTGAGATGTAGATGGTTCATGGCTATTAGAAAGCTGATTTCATGGGTTCATGATGGGTTGACTAGGAAGATGACCTGTTTCATGTTTTGAGTGGGCCAAGGCTAGTTTACCTATCTCTTTTTCTAGCCTAAGAATTGTTTCCTGATTTTCTTATCTAATTTGCTCCATCATCTTCATCATAGATGTATTTGTTTCCTAAAATTACTGCATCATTTGTCCCATAAGCTGTTGCATCGAATTTGAATTCATATCAAATTTATTTTGATAAAATTAGAATATCATGGGCTGAAATTAGGGACTAAACTTGAAGAAGAAGGGATGAAATTTTGGGCTGGTAGCTGATGAGCACTAACATGACTTAGTCATTGTATAGTAAATCATGCAAATTTTGGATATTTAGAAGTATTTTTGAACAAATATATCAATTATAATTTAATATAAACTTCTAACAAATAACGATAATTTTTCAAGTCAATCATAAGGATGTAATATAATATCAAGTAATTATTTAGAATTTTTCTCAAAGAATATTTTTTTCTATAAATTTTATACTAAAATATTATTTGTATCTCATGGTAAGTTTCATGATATTCTTTTTCAGATTTAGCATTAATTCATATACTTCATAAATATACCTTGATATACTTTCAGCCAAAATAAAATGGAAATTAACAAAAATTTTCCAAAAATAATATTTCCATTTTGAAAAGAATCTTTCCTTATTTCTGTCTTGTTTTGTAAGACTCTCATTCATTAATAAATACTTTCTATTAATAGACCATAAAATGTGATCAAGCCATATAATTTTCAAATTAACTCTTACTATTGGACAGTTTCCTGAATTTTCTATGGGCTGACTAGGTAGCTATCCCTCTTCTCTCTTATTCCCAAGAGCCTCTATTTGGCTCATAGTTTGTTGCAGCATTTGGCTCATTTGCTGCATCATTTCTCTAGTATCATGTTGGGTTTGAGAGGGCTGATTTTTCTGAAATGTGTTTTCTTATTTTAGACGAAATTCAGAGTTTGAATTAGATCTAAGTGCTTCTGAATTTTGAATATTATTTGGGTCTCTCTATGAAAAATTATTCCTCTAATTAGGATTATAAGAATTTGAAAAAGGTTTCTTATTTCTATTAAAACCATGAGCTACTTGCACTTGTTCTTGCATAAGGTGAAATGATTCATCTAAATTATAGCATTGAAATTCTGACTAATCATTTTCACCATACATAGGACATGTACTATTTGAATTAAATTGAGGGTTAAGAGGCTTTCTAATATTGTATATAAGTAAATTAAGTTTTTCTAATATTTGATTAATCTGATTAACCTCATTTCTAAATTTAGAATCATCATCATGATGCAATTCATAAATTCCTCTCTTCTTATCCTTGTCATATAATTCAAAAGAGGCTTGATCTCTAGAATTTTCACTTAAATTCTCATAAAGACTATAAATCTCATCAAGGGTTTTCTCAATAAAAGCTCCTTCACATATAGAATCAACTATATTTCTATGTTGTTCTAATAATCCATTATAAAAAATTCTATTGAGCTGTCACTTGGGTATAGCATCATGAGGACACTTTTTAAGTAAATCTTTAAATTTTTCTCATATCTCATGCAAAGTTTCTCTTGGTCTTTGAGAAAAACTCCATATATATTTTCTCATATGTTGAGTTTTTCTTAAGGGAGAAAATTTTTGAAGAAAGGCTTGTTCTATGTCTTTCCAGCTAGTTAATTCTCTATTTAATGTGGATAGCCAATGACTAGTTTTGTCCCTAAGTGTATGAGGGAATAATTTCATCTTAATAATTTCTGATGTAACTTGAGAGAGATTAACTAAATCACAAACCATATGAAATTTTTCTAAGTGCTGATGAGGTTCCTCTAAAGGCAATTCATGAAAATTAGGAAACATTTGATAAATTTCTAGATTTATTTCGAATTTAATAGTGGGTGCTACTAGGACTCTAATATTTGATACTCTTTCAAATGAATCAGTGATATGATGATTTTTCATGGCCATAGGATTATTCTTAGTTTGACCTATACTTCCTTCAAGATCCATCAAAATTAATTTTTCTTTCAGATTTTTATTTTTGAATGAAATAATGAAAGGATTTTCTAGCCTTGGATGCAAGGATCTTCTACCATGCATAAAAATCAATAAATTTGAGAGAAAAAGTTAGTAATTGTTACCCTCCTTCAGGATTCTCTAGTCCTTGTCTTGCTTCTTTTCATTCCCTTTTTCTAAAAAAAATCGACAAAAAGAAAATAAAACAAGAGTGAAATCTTTTTGTGTACTCTAAGAGAAAAATAGAAAAATACTAAATATTATGCAATACATCCATGACAATGGTGCCAAAATTTGACATGACTCAACCGTTGTATATTAAATCACGCAAATCTAAAATTTATAAAACTAGAAAATATGAATTTTCAGATATTTAGAAGTATTTCTAAATAAATATATCAATTATAATTCAATAAAAATTCCAAAAATAGTGGTAATTTTCTAGGTCAATCACAGGAATGTAATATAATATCTGGTAATTATTCAAAATTTTTCTCAATGAATACGATTTTCTATGAATTTTATACTAGGAAATAAAAAGGAAATATATTTAAAATTCACAAAAAAAGGGAAATAAGGGTGCGGATGTCGGGATGACATCAGCTCCTGGCAGATGCAAATTGGGCAGAATAGAGTTCTGTCCGGTGATTCTAGTGTAAGCGATTACAGATGATTTAATTAATCAAATTAAGATCTGTAAAAGCCAAAAGAATCATAATTGAACAAAGTATATTTTGGTAACTTAAAAACACAAAAATGATCACTAAATGAAGCGTAAAGTAAATTGAAAGTAGGAAAATAGAGTTCTGGCATCGCGACAATGATTCAACAATAATTCATCAGTGATGTACCAGAATCTTGAGCATTCGGAAGGATCATCGTGTAGTGTCCACAGCCTCAAAGGCTCTCCTTGGACAAAGACGACGTGGGCAATCTCTAGATCTTCTCGTGAAGTCTAGAGATCAATGAAGTGGGTCATCGAATCATCTCTGGCGGCTGTCACCTGACAGAGCTAAAAATTGGTGACTTTGCGGCTCTCCGGGGGCTATCACCTGATAGAGAGGAGCTGGATGGAGGTGGGGCGCGTGTTAGGGAGCTTCATCCTCAGGTCCGCGCAGCAAGAGGAGGCTCTTCATCGCATCTGGTATGCTCTTAGGAGGAGGCAACTCGTCTCCTAGCGGATTGTCCTCTTCCTGACGACGAGTTGTTCATCAATCAATCGGAGATGATTTACTCGATGGATTGAGATCCTTTTATCACGAATCATTCAGCAATTTTAGTAGCAATGCTCTACGAATCACGTTGACGAGATTTTTACCGATGATCCAACGATTCTCGTTGCTTAATCCTTCATTGGCGATCTGCAGGAAAGTCGCGATAATTAGATAAAAATATATGAATTTTGACTCTAGGAGGATTTGAACCTACGCCGGTCGCCCACCTCTAAGGAAGGTGTGACGTGGGTTTAGTCCCACATCGATTGTGTGCCAATTTTTTAGGTGAATATATGGTAATGTTAAGTTTATAAGCAAAGTCGCTACTCTCATGTGTACGACCACTCTTTGCCCCACAGCCAGCTAGCCACTAGTGACGTGGAAGAGGAGTGGTACACACGTGCTCCTATCAGTCCAAGCCAAGCCACTCGAGCCCATGCTCGCGGCTACTCCCTGACTACGCTTCCGACTCGCTTGCAGGCCCGGCTGGCCGGTGGGTCCCCCCCATTTTGCAATATTTTTATTTCTTGTTCTTCATTTATCTCAAAAGTAAGATTATAAAAATTATATAAAATCACATAATTACCCAAAAATTCACATTAATTAACTAAAAACCACAAATTATACTTTAACACAAATATAAGTCTATTTATCATGAGTTAAGGCTAAAACTATATTATTTACTAATTATTAACTCATAATAATGAAGACTTATCAATGACGTCAGCACCCAATGAATGTGAATCGGACGAAAATAGAGTTTCACCCGGCGATTCTTACATAAGCGATTACATGCAGTTTAATTGATCAAATTAGAATTTGTAAAAGACGGAAGAATCATAATGAAATGAAGTATCTGTTTGTAAATTTAAAATCAAGAAATTATTACGAAATGAAATAAAAATTAAGTTGAAAGTAGGAAAACAGAGTTCTGGTGTCGTGACAGTGATGTGTCGGCGATGCACCAGAATCTTGAGTGTGAGGGAGGATTGTTGTGCAATGTCCATGGCCTCAAAGGCTCTCCTTGGACAAAGACGACATGGGCAATCTCTAGATCTTATCGCGAAGTCTAGAGATCAATGAAATGGGTCGTCGAGTCGTCTCCAATGGCTGTCACCCGACGGAGTAGAAAAATGACAACTTTGTGGCTCTCCAGCGGCTATCACCCGATAGAGAGGAGCTGGATGGAGGTGGGGCGTATGTCATGGAGCTTCATCCTCAGGTCCGCACAGTAAAAGGAGGCTCTTCATCGCATCTAGTATACTCTTAGGAGGTGGCGACTCGTCTCCCAGTGGATCGTCCTCTTCCCAACGACGGCTTGTTTGTCAATCAATTAGAGATGATTTACTTGATGGATTCATGATCATTTTATCGTGAATCATTCAGTGATTTTAGTAGCAATGCTCTACGGATTGCATTGACAAGATTTTTGCCGATGATCCAGCGATTCTTATTGCTTAATCCTTCACCAGCAATCTACAAGAAAGTTGCAATAATTAGATAAAAATATATGAATTTTGACTCTAGGAGGATTCGAACCCGCGCCGGTTGTCCACCTCTTTTGAGGAAGGTGTGATGCGAGTTTAGTCCCACATCAATTGTGCGCTGATTTTTCAGGCAAATATATAGTAATGTTAGCTTTCTAAGCAAATCCCTTCTCTCGCATGTACGACCACTCCTTGCCCTGTAGCCGGCTAGCCACTGGTGACGTGGAAGGGGAGTGGTGCACACATGCCCCTATCAGTCCAAGCCAAGTCGCTCGAGTCCCTACTCGCAGCTACTCCCCGACTATGCTTCCGATCTACTTGCAGGCCTAGCTGATCGGCAGGTCCTCCCATTTTGCAATATTTTTATTTTTATTTGTTATTCTTCATTTATCTCAAAAGTAAGACTATAAAAATTGTATAAAATCACGTAATTACCCAAAAATTTACGTTAATCAACTAAAAATCACTTTTCACACTTTCACACAAATATAAGTGTATTTATCATGAGTTAAGGCTAAAACTATATTATTTAATAATTATTAACTCATGATAATGAAGATTTATCAGTCATCGTTTTTCCGTTCTATCGGGTGACAACTACTGGAGATGATTCGACGACCCATTTCATTAATCTCTAGAGTTCATGAGAAGATCTAGAGATTGCCCATGTCGTCTTTGTCTAAGAAGAGCCTTTGAGGCCGTAGACACTACATGATGATCCTCCCAAATGCTTAGGATTCCAATGCATCGTCGACGCATTGCCATCGCGATGTCAGAACTCTATTTTCCTGCTTTCAACTTACTTTACGCTTTATTTAATGATAGTTTTTGTGATTTTAATTTACCAAAATATGCTTTGTTCTATTACGATTCTTCTGGCTTGTACATATCTTAATTTGATCAATTAAATCGTATGTAATCACTTACGCAAGAATCACCGAGCGGAACTCCATTTCTGCTCGATTCGCGTTCGTCGGGCATTGACATCATCCTAACATCCACACCCTTATTTCCCTTTTTTGTGAATTTTAAATATATTTTCTCTTCATTTGCTAGTATAAAACTCATATAAAATCATAATTATTGATAAAAATTCTGAATAAATACCAGATATTATATTACATCCCTATGATTGACTTGGAAAATTACTACTATTTTTGGAAGTTTTATTGAATTATAATTGATATATTTATTTAGAAATACTTCTAAATATTCAAAAATTCGTATCTTCTAGTTTTATAAATTTTAGATTTGCGTGACTTAATATACAACGACTAAGTCACATCACCCATCTATCCTAGCCCCTTGAGCTCTTACTCATGGCTTCCTTTGACTCTACTTTTGAACCACTTATGGGCCCGATCTGCTAGCAAGTCCCCCTATTTTGCTATAGTTTTATTTTTGTTTCTATTTCTTTATTTATCTCAAAAATAGGACTATAAAAATCATATAAATTTGTAGAAAATCACATAATTACCCAAAAATTCACGTTAATCAATTGAAAACCACAAATCATACTTTAACACAAATATAAGTATATTTATCATGAGTTAAGGCTAAAAATATATTATTTACTAATTATTAATTCATGATAATGAAGACTTATCAATGACATCAGCGCCCAGTGATAAGTCTTTATTATCATGAGTTAATAATTAGTAAATAATATAGTTTTAGCCTTAACTCATGATAAATATACTTATATTTGTGTTAAAGTATGATTTGTGGTTTTCAATTGATTAACGTGAATTTTTGGGTAATTATGTGATTTTATATGATTTTTATAATCTTACTTTTGAGATAAATGAAGAACAAGAAATAAAAGTATTGCAAAATAGGAGAACCCATCAGCCAGCCGAGCCCGCAAGTGGGTTGGAAGTGTAGTCAGGGAGTAGCCGCGAGCAAGGGCTCGAGCAGCTTGGCTTGGACCGATAGGGACATGTGTGTGCCACTCCCCTTCCATGTCACCAGTGGCCAGCCGGCTGTGGGGCAAAGAGTGGTTGTACACGTGAGAGTAGTGACTTTGCTTATAAAGCTAACATTACTACATATTCACCTGAAAAATCAGCACACAACTAATGTGGGACTAAACCCGCGTCACACCTTCCTCAGAGGTGGGCGACCGGCGAGGGTTCGAATACTCCTAGAGTCAAAATTCATATATTTTTATTTGATTATTGTGACTTTCTTGTAGATTGCCAGTGAAGGATTAAGCAACAAAAATCGTTGGATCATCGGCGAAAATCTCGTTAACGCAATTCGTGAAGCATTGCTACTAAAATTGCTGAACGATTCGCGATAAAAGGATTGCAATCCATCGAGTAAATCATCTTTGATTGATCGACGAACAAGCCGTCGTTGGAAAGATGACGATCCACCGAGAGACAATTCACCACTTCCTAAGAGCGTATTAGATGCAATGAAGAGCCTCCTCTTGCTGTGCAGACCTAAGGATGAAGCTTCCTGACATGCACCCCACCTCCATTCAGCTCCTCTCGTCAGGTGACAGCCGCCGGAGAGTCGCAAAGTCGTCATTTTTCCTCTCTGCCAGGTGACAGCCGCCAGAGATAATTCAATGACTCACTTCATTGATCTCTAGACTTCGCAAGAAGATCTAGAGATTGCCCACATCATCTTTGTCTAAGGAGAGCTTTTGAGGTCATGGACACTACACGACAATCTTCCCGAATGCTCAAGATTCCAGTGCATCACAGACGCATTGCCGTCGCGATGCTAGAACTTTATTTTCCTACTTTCAATTTACTTTATGCTTCATTTAGTGATAATTTTTTGTGTTTTTAAGTTACCAAAATATACTTTGTTCAATTACGATTCTTTCGACTTTTACAGATCTTAATTTGATAAATTAAATCGTTTGTAATTGCTTACGCAAGAATCACCAGGCGGAACTTTGTTTTCGTTCAATTTGCGTCAGCTAGATGCTGATGTCATCTCAATGTTTGCACCCTTATTTCCGTTTTTACGTGGATTTTAAATATATTTCCTTTTTATTTCCTAGTATGAAATTCATAGAAAATTGTATTCATTGAGAAAAATTCTGAATAATTACCATATATTATATTACACCCTATGATCGACTTGGAAAATTACCACTATTTTTGGAAGTTTTATTGAATTATAATTGATATATTTATTTATAAATACTTCTAAATATCCAAAAATTTGTATTTTCTAGTTTTTTAAATTTTACATTTGTGTGATTTAATATACAACGACTGAGTCACGTCATCCAATGAATGCAAATCGGGCAAAAATAGAGTTCCGTCAGATGATTCTTACGTAAGCAATTATAGATAATTTAATTGATCAAATTAAGATCTGTAAAAGACGAAAGAATCGTAATGAAATGAAGTATCTATTGGTAAATTTAAAATCAACAAATTATCACTAAATGTAATAAAAATTAAGTTTAAAGTAAGAAAATAGAGTTATGGCGTCGCGACAGTGATGCATCAGCGATGTACTGGAATCCTGAGTGTTTGAGAGGATTGTTGTGCAATGGCGACAGCCTCAAAGGCTCTCCTTGGACAAAGACGACGTGGGCAATCTCTAGATCTTCACGCAAAGTCTAGAGATCAATGAAATGGGTCGTTGAGTCGTCTCCGATGGCTGTCACCTGGTAGAGCGGAAAAATGGCAACTTTGTGGCTCTCTGGTGGCTGTCACCCACAGAGAGGAGCTGGATAGAAGTGGGGCGTGTGTCAAGGAGCTTCATCCTCAGGTTCACACAGCAAAAGGAGGCTCTTCATTGCATTTGGTATACTCTCAGGAGGTCGCGACTCATCTCCTAGTGGATCGTCCTCTTCTTGACGATGGCTTGTTCGTCAATCAATCAGAGATGATTTACTTGATGGATTCGTGATCCTTTTATCGTGAATCATTGAGTAATTTTAGTAGCAATGCTCCACAAATCGCGTTGACGAGATTTTTGCTAATGATCCAGCAATTCTCATTGCTTAATCCTTCACTGGCAATCTGCAAGAAAGTTGCGATAATTAGATAAAAATATATGAATTTTGACTCTAGGAGGATTCGAACCTGTACTAGTCATTTGCCTCTTTTGAGGAAGGTGTAACGTGAGTTCAGCCCCACATCGGTTGTGCGCTGATTTTTTGGACAAATATATAATAATGTTAGCTTTCTAAGCAAGTCCCTTCTCTCGCATGTACAACCACTCCTTGCCCCACAGTCGGC